CGGTAAATATGTTCTTCCAAAGAATGGGTTCCCTTTTCATTTTGATGCTGGTTTCTTTTGCCATGCAGAAGCTTTTTAGTTTGATGTAGTCCCATTTATTATTTTTTTCCTTTGTTTCTCTTGCTCTAGGTGTTGTCAGTGAAATTCTACTATGTCTGATGTCTGAGATTTTTCTGTCTACATTTTCTTTTAGGATGTTTATGGTTTCACAAGTTACATTTATGTCTTCTATCCATTTTGAGTTTATTCTTATATATGGTGTAAGTTGGTGGTCTAGTTTAATTTTTTTGCATGTAGCCATCCAATTTTCCCAACATCATTTATTGAAGAGACTCTTTTCTCCGTTGTGTGCTCCTGCCTCCTTTTCGAATATTAATTGTGCATACTGTCTTGGACATGTTAATGATGTTGAGTTTTCTAATCCATGAACATGGTATATGTTTCTGCTTTTTTTTATATCTTACTCTATTTTTGTTTTCAATGTCATGTAGTTTTCTGAGAACAGATATTTTACTCCTTGATTAAACTTATTTCTAAGTATTTTATTTTTTTGTTGCAATGGTAAATGGGATTTTTTTTTTGTTTTCCTTTTTGAATATTCATTATTAGTGTATAAGAATGCCATAGATTTCTGAATGTTAATTTTGTATCCTGCTACTTTGCCAAATTCATTTATTAAATCTAGCATAGTTTTGATGGAGACTTTAGGGTTTTCTATGTACAATATCATGTCATCTGGGAATAATGACAGTTTCACTTCCTCCTTTCCAATTTGGATCCCTTTTATTTTTTCTTCTTGTCTGATTGCTGTGGCTAAGACTTCTAGTATTGTGTTAAATAAGAGTAGTGAAAGTGAGCATCCCTGCTTGTTCATGTTCTTAAGGGAAATGCCTTTAGTTTTTGCCCATTGAGTATGATATTGGCTGTAGGTTTTTCATATATGGTCTTTGTTATACAAAGATATGATCCCTGTATTCCCCTTTGCTGAGCATTTTTATTAGAAATGGGTGCTGGATTTTGTCAAATGCTTTTTAAGCATCTATTTGATATGATCATGTGATTTTTATCTTTCATTTTGTTTATGTGGTATATCACATTTATTGATTTGTGAATATTGTACCAGCCTTGGCATCCCTGGGATGAATCCCACTTGGTCATGGTGAATAATTTTTAAATATATTGCTGGATCCGATTTACTAATATTTTGTTGAGGATTTGGGCATCTATGTTCATCATGGATATTGGGCTGTAGTTTTCTTTCTTCGTAGTATGTTTATCTGGTTTTGGAATTAGGATTAAGCTCTTCAAAGAAAGAACTTGGAAGTCTTCCTTTTGAATTTTTTGGAGTAGTTTGAGGTGAACAGGTATTAATTCTTCTTGGAATATTTGGTAACGATCCCCTGTGAAGCTGTCCAGATCCAGGCTTTTGTTTGCTGGAAGTTTCTTCATTACAGTTTCAATTTTCCTAGTTGTTATTGGTCTGTTCAAGTTTTCTGATTCTTCCCAGTTCAGTTTTAGGAGACTGTGATTCTAAGAATTTGTCCATTTCACCTAGGTTGTCCAATTTGTTGGCATATAATTGTTCATAGTATTTTCTTACAATCCTTTGTATTTCTGTGGTGTCAGTTGTTAGTTCTCCTCTTTTGTTTCTGATTTTATCAGTTCGTGTCCTCTCTCTTTGCTTCTTGGTGAGTCTGGCTAAAGGTTGATCAATCTTGTTTATCTTTTCAAAGAACCAGCTTTTGGTTTCATTGATCTTTTGTATTGCCTTTTTGGTCTCTATGTCATTTATTTCCACTCTGATTTTTTTTATTTCTTTTCTTGTACTTTTGGTTTTTCTTTTTGTTCTCTTTCTAAATCTTTAAGTTGTAGGGTTAGGTACTTTATTAGAAATGTTTCTTGAAGTAGGTTTGTAATGCTATGAACTTCACTCTCAGGACTACTTTTGCTATGTCCCATAAACTTTGTGTTGTTGTGTGTTCATTTTCATTAGTTTCCAGGAATTTTTTATTTCTTCCTTGATCTCATTTGTAACCCATTCCTTGTTTAATAACATGCTATTCAGCCTCCATGTGTTTGAATGTTTTCGAGTGTTTTATTGTAATTGATTTTTAGTTTCATGCCATTATGATTGGAGAAGATGCCTGATATGATTTCAGTCTTCTTGAACTCATAGAGACTTAGTCTGTGTCCTAACATGTAGTCTATCTTTGAGAATGTCTTGTGTGCACTAGAGAAGAATGTATGTTCTGTAGCGTTGGGATGAAATGTTCTGTAAATGTCAATTAGATCCATCTGATCTAGTGCGTTGTTTAGGGTCTCTGTTTCCTTGTTGATTTTTGGTCTAGAAGATCTATTCTATGATGTCAGTATGATGTTAGAGTCCCCATGCTATGATTGTATTGCTTTGTATCTCTCCCTTGAAGTCCTCTAGAAGTTTTTTGATATATTTTGGTGCTCCTATATTGGGTACATACATGTTTACCAGGGTTATAGCCTCTTGTTGGATCGATCCCTTTAATATTATGTGATGGCCTTCTTTGTCTCTTATTATGTCCTTTATTTTGAAGTCTATTTTATCAGATATGAATATTCCTACCCCTGCTTTTTTTTGTTTGTTTCCATTTGCTTGGAAATCTTATTCCATCCTTTCACTTTTATCCTGTGTGAGTCTTCTGTTCTGAGGTAGGTCTCTTGTAGACAGCATATATATGGGTCATGTTTTCTCATCTATTCAGCTACCTTATGTCTTTGATTGGAGTGTTTAAGCCATTTACATTTAAGGTTATTATTGATAAGTACTTATTTGTTGCCATTTTTATTTTTTATACTTGTGTTCCTTTTTTTCTCTATTTCTTCTTCTTACAACAGTTCCTTTAGGAGCTCTTGCAGTGCTGGTTTGGTGGTAGTAAACTCTTAGGCTTTTTTTGGTCTGAGAAGCTCTTTGTTTCCCCTTCAATTTTGAATGATTGCCTTGCTGGATAGAGTAGTCTTGGTTTCAGACCCTTGCTTTTCATTACTTTGTACACTTCATGCCACTCCTTTCTGGTCTGTAGTGTTTCTATTGAGAAATCAACTGACAGTCTAATGGGAGTTCCCTTGTAGGTAACTTTCTGACTGTCTTTTTCTGCCTTTAAGATTCTTTGTCTTTAACATTTGCCATTTTAATTATGATGCGTCTAGGTGTGGGTCTTTTTGGGTTCATTTTGTTTGGGACTCTCTGTATTTTCTGGACTTGTGCGACTGTTTCCTTCACCAGGTTAGGGAGGTTTTCTGTCATTATTTCTTCAAACAGGTTCTCTATTCCTTTCTCCAATTCTTCTCCTCTGGTGCCTCTATGATGCGAATGTTGTTACATTTCATATTTCCCCATAGTTCCCTTAAACTCTTCTTCTGCTTTTTAATTTTTCCCCCTATTTTCTGCTCTATTTGGGTGTTTTTTTCTACCTTGTTTTCTAACTCACTGATTTAGTCTTCAGCTTCTTCTACTCTCTATTGAATCCTTCCAAAGTATTTTTTTTTTATCCTCACCCAAGGACATTTTTGCACTTATCTTCAGATAGAGTAGGAGGGAGAAGAGGGGAGAGAGGGAGAGAGAAACATCGATGTGAGAGAGACACACTGAGTGGTTGCCACTCACACGACTCCAACCAGGGCCAGGGACAAACTGCAACCGAGGTATGTGCTCTTAGCGGGAACTGAACCTGGGACTCTCTGGTCCACAGGCTGGCGCTCTAACCGCTGAGCCAAACCGGCCAGGGCTAAAGTATTTTTTTATATCAGCTATGTCATTCTTCATTTCCACTTGACTTTTGTTTATAGCTTCTACCTCTTTTTTCATGCCTATGTGTAGTTCTTTATAATTCTTACTGAGTTGCTTATAATTCTCACTAAGTTGTTTGAGCATCCTTATAACCATTACTTTGAATTCTGTTTTTTTCTGTGTTTTTTTTTTTTTTTTTAATTTTTTTTATCCTCACTTGAGAACATTTTTGCATTTATCTTCAGCCAGAACGGGAGGGAGAGAGGGAGGAAGAGAGAGAGAGAAACATTGATGTGAGAGAGACACATTGAGTGGTTGCCACCCACACAACCCCAACTGGGGCTGGGTACAAACTGCAACCGAGGTACGTGCCCTTAGTGGGAACCAAACCCGGGACTCTCTGGTCCGCAGGCCAACACTCTAACCACTGAGCCAAACTGGCTAGGGCTTACTATGAATTCTGTATCTGATAAATCACTTGCCTCCATTATATTTAGTTTCTTTTCTGGTGATTCCTCATTTTCTTTCATTTGGGTGTTGTTTCTTTGTCTTCCCATTTTATTGGTCTAGTGTTCCAGGGCTGGGTGGGGGCAGGCTGGGTCCGGCTGGGTCCGGCTGGGTCCAGGAGTAAGTCTTGTGTCCAGGGGCGTGGGGTCCGGGTGGGTCATGTGCCTGGATCTGGGATCCTTTACAGTGGTCTGAGAGTACTAGCGGCTCTTAGCCCTGGCAGTGGGACCAGGGGTTTTTGCTGCAGTGGAGCCAGTAGATTGGTGGCTCTCTGCCACTGGCGGCACCTGGCAACCGCACGTAGTGATGCCTCTTGGCTCCTGGTGGCACCTATGGGGAGTATGTGCCCCTTGGCTGCTAGTAGCATTTGTGGTGGCGGCAGGCCCCTCAGCTGCTGGCGGCACCCGTGGGGAGTGCATGCCCCTCAGCTGCTGGTGGCACCTGCGGTGGCCTGTGGGGTGACAGGGCACTCTGATGCCAGGGGAGAGGTGGTGGGGCTTGTAATGTCTATATGTGGCCTACGGCACTAGGTCTCTCCATTAAAAGGAGTTTTAAATAAAAGTTATCAGAAAACAGTCCTAGCCTGAGTCTGGAGCTTCTGGTGGTTCCCTGAATGTGAGGGATAGACTTCCCTGGCTGACCAGGAGCCTCCTGAAGCCCCGAGGATGGGTCCAGACCCTCATCAGTTGGTGCTTCTATGTTGGTAACACCCTTTTTTCTTTCTTGTTAGGTCTGCTCCCTTCGAAAGTTCTGTGCCAACAGAGAGGTTCCCATTCAGACCCAGGACTGTGGGACGGAGAGGTTGAGACTGAGTGCTGAGGCTGGGAAGGCATTTGTCCCCCTCCTCCGAGGGAGAAGGCAGGGATGTCCGAAGACCTCACCCTCCTGCAGCATTGCACAGATGGCCTTGCCTTGGCTTCTGACCTTTTGCAGTTGTGATGGATGTTTACAGGAACCCAGCCACAGTATGCCTCCCTGCTCTTTGTCCCCGACTGCACCTGCTTTCCCCCCTTAACTTCCAAGAGGACACTTCAAACCACGGACACACACACAGTAGCGCAGGCAACTCCGGCTGATGTCTATGGAGCCCTGAGCCTGACTGGGTTTGGCCAGGCTGATCTTAGAGGCAAGCGACTGTTTCAGGGAGCGACTCCGAAGGAGAAGAGGCGAGGAGTGTGTCGGCTTAGGGCAGGGTTTTGACTTATTCATTGCAAGTTGCTTGTTCCTCAAGTTGCCAAAACTGATCCATCATGCCCAGGGAGGGCCATGTTTCTCCTCTGGCCAGAAATATTTTTAGAAAATATGAGTAGTATGAATGCTGGACTTTGATAAACCTATAAAAGCAATACTTAGGAGGCTGACTTCTTTCAATTAAAAAAATGTATGCAACTTCAACCCCTGGAGACCTGCTTCTTTTTTCTTCTTCTTTGAATTTTGGGAAAGGAATTCATAAGGAGAAAACCTCATATTTGACAAAGGGGAGCAGAGTCCGGGCCTCCCAAGTTGAAGATCCAGCCAGGTTTGGAGAGTCTGCCCAGACTGAGCTGGCGCGGGAGGCCCGGGCCAGTCTCCTCTCCGCTTCCACAAGCCTGACAACCAGGGCCAGCCTTAGGGGTGTGGTGGCACAGGCCGGGTGGCCACGCTGGAAATCAGGGCCAAAACCCAGAGAAAGAGGTGTGGTATCTCCCCACCCTCCCTTCCACGCCGGGCACGCAGTAGACTCCAGTAAAGATAGAGGCTGGAGGGAGGGAGAAACGAATGAGTGAAATTGGATCCACTTACAGTTTCATGGGAAAAAAAAATAGCATAAGTCTCTCAGTTTGCAGAGCACCTGCTGCTTCTCAAAGCACCTTCACACACACACACCATGTTGAACCAAGTGATTAGCTCTGTCCTATAGATAAGCATGCTGAGGTGGGGACGACAGGTCCCGCAGGACTCAAGAGAAAGGACAGTTGCAGCACCGCTTGCCTTCAGGCGGGTCTAAGAAAGGGGAGGCTGAGAAATGTGAACAAAAGGCATTCAAGAGGCCCGAGGTGAGCCTGAGAAAGGAGACATTGGGAGAGGCCTGAGGAGGAAATGAGGGTTTAAAAGATGCATCCACTTGAAATCCACCAAACATGAAATCATGCCATCAGCACACAGTATGACTCCCAACGTCACATACCCAGATTCATGTGAGCATCACTTCTCCCACCCATCAGACGGGGCTCAGGGACCAGGTCCAGCACACTGTGCCCATGGAGAAACCCTCCAAAGAAGTCAGGAGGCAAGTTTGGCCATGGCTGGGTTTCCCAGTGGTTAGTGTCAACTCACAGACTAAAAGGTTGCAAGTTTGCTTCCAAGTCAAGGGACCATACCTGGGTTTCAGATTCAATCTCCGGCCCATGCAGGAGGCAACCAATCTGTGTGTTACTCTCACCTCAATGTTTCACTCTCTCTTCTCCTCCTCACCTCCCTCTCTCTAAAACAATTAAAAAAAATATCTTCAGGTGAAGATTAACAAAAAAAAAAAAAGAAAGCAAGTTTGCATCTTGACGGCCTCCTTTATAGGGGTGTGACTTTAGACAAGTACATCTATGAAATAAGGACAGTCATTTGCCCACTTCATTAGATGACTTTGTGCTAATAATCAAGGTGTCCCTCTGGGCTGAGATGGCCTCACACCAGGACTCCCAGCTTGGCAAGCAGAGCCCAGACTGGTTTGCACCCTCCATTGATCCCCTTGTCCAGGTGCCTTTGTACAGTGCACAGACTGCCCAAACCATACCTGGCAGGCTTGCCCAGAGATTTTAAAATTTTTACTAAAGTGCAAGACTTACCAAAGCATCTTATTCACCACGGAGTGGAATGAATAAAGCAAAGTTGTGGTGAGGCTTATTTGTTCATTTCACAAATGTTTATTGAGCGCTTACTATGTGCCGGCACCTTGCTGGGAGCAGAGGGCACAGCAATGAACAAAGTAGACAAGGTACTTACCCTCCTGGAGCTCACGTCCTAGGATAAGAGCAGACAGCACAACAAATAAATGTGGAAAAGATAAACTAGTGATGAGGCTGGAGAGTGGGGAGGGGGTGTCTGTTTAATGGAGTGATCTGACACGCCTTCCTAAGGGACTGTCCTTTGAACTTAGTCCTGAGGGATGAGAAGAAGTCAGCCATGGGAAGAACTACCAATAACATTCCACGCAAAGGCTAGAGTGAAACACATTCATGTGTAACAAGGACAACTAACATGGATTGAGCTGTAAGCCAGGCTCTTGTTCTCAGTGCGTTGGCTCACTGAGTCTCCCATAACCGCATAATGAAGATGGTGCTATGAGTATGCCCCTTTTACATATGGGGAGACTGAGGCACAGAAGTAATTTGCACAGGTGGTGAGCTGGGCATTGAGTCCAAGTGATCTACCTCTAGAGTCTGTGCTGCTGACCCTAGGCTCTGGTCCCTCCTGAGTAGGGAGGGCTTAGCACGGTGCCTGACACAAAGTAATAATCATTGCTAATATTTATTGAGCACGTATGATGTCCTTTGCACTGTGGTTAGTGCTCTACATGTATGAATTCATTTAATAATGGTAGCCATCCTTAAAAATCATTACTCGGAATAATTATAGCCTCTGATCTCATTTTGTCATCTCTGAATAGACCCAAAGCAGTGAGTACAGTAGTGCCCTCCCGTCTGGCCAAGGGTGCGGCAGACACCTCAAATGGGGGGATATTGGCTTGGTGATCATCACTGTGTCCGCACAAAGTCCATGAATGCAGGGAAACCCTGGGAGGTGGCGCCGGAGCTACTTAAAGCCCAAACCTAGGTCACAACACCTGATGCCCAAGGCGGAAGGTGCCCGTCTCTCTACAAGGATTGCCAACCAGGTAGCCCGGTAACCCCTGAGATACCCCCTGCCCCTGACTCCCAGTTGCTGGGAAGAGGAGGAGAGTATGGGTCCAGGCATCAAGGCGATGCACTAGAGCTGAACAGTCAGCTCCCACTGCTGCCAAAGCCAAGTCATCCGAAACCAGGGCTCTGAGTGAGCAGGCCGTGCCCCAGTGCAAAACAACAGCAGACGAGCTGGCAGCTCTCCGGTGGAGAGCGAAGCTGCCAAGTCCCTTCCAGGCTTGCTTTGGCTGAGGCAGAACCCCAGCTGGGCAAGGGATGGCTCCCAGGATACAGGGGGGTCAGAGGCAGAGGGAAGCACCCCCTCTGCAAGGCTCATGGTGCTTTGACCTTGCTGCTCCCCTAATAATGAATCTCCCCCCGAATCTTAGCACGTCATAAAGAAAATCCTTTCTGAAAAGACAGGACTTGGACCAAGCGGACTCTGCTGTGTGTTGCGCACACACGTGTAGCAGGGAGAGGAGAGTGGTGGTCCCTGTCACAATGGACAAAGGATAGGACAGAAGTGATGATGTGTGACTTCTAAGATTGGGTTATAAAAAGGGTACAACTTCTCTCTGTTCTTTCTCCCTCTCTTCCCCCACTCTCTTCCTTTTTGGGCGACCACCCTATAGCCCAGCCAGTGTGCTGTGCAGAAGCCCAAACTAGCCCATGTGGAGAGGTCCCCCACTGACAGTTCCTTAGAGGAACCGAGGCCCCCAGCCACGAGCCAGTATCAAGTGAGCAAGCCTTCAGATGACCCCAGCTGACACTGAGTGGGACAGAGATGAGTCCAAACAACACGTATGTGAGCAGAATAAACGTATGTGTTGTTGTAAGCACTACATTTCGGGGTGGTTTGTGGTACATTCAGTCCCCGGATCAGTGGGCACCCCAACATGGTAATCATGCCATAAACTCCAACACCGGACCTGCCTGTGGGACTGGAGGAACCATTCACGTTGCAGTGAAAGGCAGCTGCGCCCCAGTCCGTCCCGCTCCCCTCCTCCATCAGCGTGCAGTCTGGTGTTATCCAGCGAAGGTCCAGTGCACCCGGCCAGGCCTGGCTCTGGCCTCAGCAAACAAACAGGGCAAACGGTGAGTCCCACCGAGAGAGCGCAGCTGCCTCACTCCCAGCCTCTGGGAATTGGCAGGTCGGGTTCCCTTCTGGTATCCTCAAAGTGCCAAGTGCGCCCTGTGAGGACAGCAGCCTGGAGAAGTGCTTTCTCCCAGGCTGGCAGGGGCCTGGGGAGGCGGAGATGTGGCTGCCTCAGTTCCTCGCTCTGGCCTGGCCACGACTCTGGAGTATCCTGTAGAAAACGCGCCAGGTCTCCGGGGCGGACCACAGCTGCCAGCAGGCGCCCGCCTGTCTGCCGGGGTTGCAGCAGCTGAGTAGGGCTGACATCACCTGGGCTCTGAAGGAGCCTGGAGCCGGGCCTGGGTCTGTCCACAGAGCAGGCCATGGGGTCTTTCCACAGCCAGCCCGGCTGGTGCCAGGACACTGAGGCTCACAGGATATGACCTGAGAAGAGCTGTGTCCACAGATAACCCAGTTCAAGGTCCAGTGTGCTCAGTGTCCTCAGATTAGGTGCTGTGGAAGGTTCAGAGAAGGGGTAGGTCAGGAAGCTGTAGGAGGGGGTAGCTGGACACATGGAGAGTGTTGTCGAGATTGGGGAAAGAAGGGATGGTGGGAATGGAGGACAAGACAGGGTTTGGAGGGGGACCTCACAAGTCAGAGAAGCGGGCAGATGGGAAGATCGTCATCTGCACCGTGAGAGGCAGGAAACTCAGGTAGGGTCCTATCACGACAATCTGAGCCATCGGGTAGCCAACAGGCTGAAACAGCAGCATGTATGGTTCGGAGTCCCTGAAGGAATATCTCCCCAATGCTATGGGGTGTGGACAGCCCACCACCCTGTCCTTGCCCCGGTCTCTAAGCCTGATCACGGGGAGGGTCCTCAGGGCCCAAGCCACACAGCCACCAAAACAACTCCACCGAGCCCAGTGCAGAGATGGGGGGCCCCCGATGGTGCATGGTCCAGGGGTGGCCACCCGGATCCCACCTGCTGCCCTGCCCACTTCTTATGGATTCCGCCTTCCCAGGATGCTGACTCGAGGGGCCCTTGTGGTTCTCCCCTCCCAAACCCAGCCCAGATACCTTTTCCCTGGCACAGCGGGGGTCATCTCAGGCTGATCCGGGAGTCCAGCTGCTGCAGGTGTTCTTGGACACCAAAAGGGATGGTGGGTGTCCACATCCTGTGATGGGGACATGAGACACAAAGGCCAGGTTAGAGGAGAAAGTGTGACCCGGAGCCCCAACAGAAGCTGCCCCAAACCACTCTTCCCACTCAGCTTTGGACCTTGGGGACTTCCCAAGGTCCAGTATAGGGGCATGGGACAGCAGAAGCCTAGGAACCCCTAAACCCCTTTCTTTAGACCTGGATCTGCTGCTGGCTTGCTGTATGACCCCAAAAACGTTGGTTAAATTTTATGCCTTATTCTCCTCATCTGTAAAATGGGTCTATAAGATCCACCTATCCCTCTTAGAGGATATGAGTAATTATGTAAGTGAAAGTACTTTGGAAGTGTATAAAGTACCAGTATTGGTCATTAGACATCATGGTGATGTAATAAGTTTGGTCTCTTTGAAACTGCCAATTTTTTTAGGTCACAGTGGTTTATGTACTCAATTTCATTTTTTTTTTTTTTAATCCTCACCGGAGGACATTTTTCCAGTTTTTGTTCAGGTAGAGTGGGAGGGAGAGAGAGGAACAGAGAGAGAGAGAGAGAAACATCGATGCGAAAGGAACACATCGAGTGGCTGCCACCCGCACAACCGACCAGGGCCGGGGACAAACTGCAACCGAGGTACGCGCCCTTAGCGGGAACGGAACCCGGATCTCTCAGGACCGCAGGCCGACGCTCTAACCGCTGAGCCAAACCGGCCAGGGCCTCAATTTCATATTGTTCAACCCAAAATACTGAGCATTTTCATGTACCAGACACTGTTCTAATCACTTTATAAGTCTTGACTAATTTAAACCTCACAAAACTGCTTGGAAAAAATTTTACTACCACTACCATTTTACAGATGAAGAAACTGAGGCCAGAGGGGTGAGGAGTCCTGCCTGCCCAAGGTCGCACACTGGTAAGGGGCAGAGCAGGATCTGAGCTCAGGGCTCATGGAACCGCCACTGGGGCCACCGAGACTTACGCCAGTGTCTCCACATGTGGGCACTTTCTCAGGCTGGCGGTGAGCTGCTGGGCCCCGGCGGCTGTGAACTTGTTGTACTGGACGCTGGGGAGAGAAACCCATCCTGGGGCCTGGCCTTCAGGATCATCCAGCCCCAGATCAAGGCCACCACCACACTTGACAACCAGACCTCAGCCCAGTCCTTCCCATGATGCCCCGGGCCGCTGCCACCCACGGCCCAGGTTCCCATACTCACTCCAGCACCCGCAGGGATACCATGTCTGGAAGCACGTGTGCCAAGCTCTCGGCTCCCACGTCACAGATGCAGTTATTGTACAAGCTGCCAGAAACAGAAGTCAGGGGTTCAGGGCCCAGGGGGATCCACACCCAGCTGGGATCACTGCCCCAGTTTACAGAGGGCAAACTGAGGCCCAGAAAGTTGAGGGCTCTTCTCTCTGGTCACACAGTGAGTCCAGGGAAGCAGCAGGACCAACAGGAGGTAGCTTCCAGGCTGAGACTTCAGGAGTTCAAATCCCAACTCTGCCATTTGCTGCCTGTGTGACCTTTGGTAAATTAGTCAACTCCTCTGTGCCTCAGATTGCTCCTCCATAAAACGGCCATGATACAGAGTCATTGCGAGAAGGAGTAAATGAGTCAATGCTGGTAAAACACACAGAATGGGCCAAACGTGTGGAATGAACTAAATCTTAGCTACGGTTATTTCTACCTCCCAGGGTGGGTTGGGAGGATTAACTGAGTTACCCTAGAAGGTATGACCAGCACTGAGGATAAAGGGGAGAGACAAGCCCAAGCCTGGGCCGGCTCAGGTTTCTGCAGTGTATTCACAGCCGTCGTTTGCAGTGTTGAAAATAGCGCGACGGGTGTAGTTGATGCTGACTTAAACTGTACATTCATTGCTAAGCATCCTTTTAACAAGCCAGGGACTGCTGTGGTTCTAATTTCAAGGCCATGACTTGGCCATGACAGCCTCAGGGCGACACTGCAGGGCTGCATGGAAAAGCAGTAAGTCACTACTGCAGCAGAGTGGATTCAGGCTAAACGCCAGCATCCCCTGCCGTCATGACTTGGCTGCCACCAGGGCAGGCACCAGGCAGGGGCTTTGCGGTCTCTTTCTGGGGTAGGTCTTAGAACCCAGGAGGACTTCCTCCTTGCACAGGCAGGGGGTCCTTCCCATATTTCACTGATGCCAAGAAGCACATGCTCATATATTTGCATATCATTGAGATCGGGACCTAATAATCAGTGGAGTGTCATCTTATAATCTGCCGTGTTTTGTCCTCTGAATGACGTCTTACAAATGGCATCTCAGGTTCCATGAAATATGAGGTTTCTTTAAGCATCAGTTGGATCACCTCCATAGGCCCTACCTGCTTCTCCATTCACAGCAGAAAGACTCCAAACCTCCCTCCTAACCTCCAAAGGCCTCTCCGCATGATCTGGCCTCCACTTACCTCTCCCGCCTCATCTCCCTCCCTCTGTCCTTCATTCACTATATCCAGCCACAGTGGACCTTCTGGCCCTCAGAGACCCAACCTATTTCCTATTTCCAGGGCCTTTGGATCTGCTGTTCCCTCTTCTTGGAATTCTTTCCCCCTAGAGCTGCCAATAGAAGGGGAATGGTCACCCCCTCAGAGGTCTCCTGACCTCTCTGGTGAATTCAATATTCCTATTGTAATGCCTGGACCCTTATTAGTTTCCTTCCCAGCATAAATCACTATTTTAAAATACTTTATGTATGCATGTGCTTACTTGCTTATTATGCAAGAAACTTGAAAACAAGAACCGCATCTGTTTTGTCTGTAGTTGTATTTCTAGCTCCTAGCACAGGCTGGCCCACAGTTGATATTAGAGGATGTTAGATTCCTTGCACAACTCTAGGGGGTGCCAATCACATAGACTAGGAATTAGACAGTACACAACCTATGCAACTGCACCCAGTGGCCCTGAATGGAAGGATAAAAAATGGATACATCGATAACTCAAACCAGATGTCATCTACCCTGGGAATTTGACTCTGGCTGTCTTTGGCAAATGATGAGGGCTGGGAAAGGAGAGGGAAGTTCCTCCCAATCTAGTGAGAAAGGAGAGTTGGCAATACTGAGCTGAATGGGGCTCTGGTCCAAGCTCTCAGTTCCCTCATTAGCTGCTGTATGACCAGGGGCAAGGCTGGAAGTAAACAAAAGCAAGAGGTGCTATGCTAAATTATACCACAAGGTGGAAGTATAAGCACTGACTGGTAGTGAGGGCTAAGAGCCAGCCAGGGCTGCCGGAGGGTAGTCAGTCAGTCAGCCTTCTAGAAATCACCACCTCTGGACTCTAGAAGAAGCTTAGTCCCACTATCCCCTGGGGAAAGAGGACCAATATGTATTGTGCTCAGCACTGGACCAAGGGCTTTCCATAGGTCATTGGGATGGTACCCATTTTCCAGACGAAGACACGGAGGCATTGCCCAACCCCAGGTTAGGGGGTTGTGTTCATATTGGAATTTAGGTCAATGCCTCCCTCCTCTGAAGTTGTGCAACTCTGACACAGCAGAAAAGCCCCTAGTGACTGCCCCCAGGGTCCCAGTGTGGGACTTTGCGGTGGGCACAGAGGGGGCTCTCTGCCTCCAGCCCTCCAGCGCAGCAGGGCCCCACTCACCTCAGACTGAGGAGGGATGCAGCCAGTGAGGGCAGGGCCTCAGCGAGTTTGCAGGCGCCCACATCAGTGATGCTGTTCTGGGACAAGCTGCAGGGACACAGAGAGAGAGCCAAACTTGTATGTCCCTTCCTTGACCCCCTCCCCTGGGGCGGACCGGTGAAACTCTTGCTTCTTCACAGCGTGGCCCGGGGCAGCTAACAGAGGACAATGGACCTCAAGGAGAGCTGTGGGCAATGAACTGTGAATGGCACCGTCATCACGGGAGACTGACTGTTAGGTCCTGTGGCTGAGTGGGGTGATGGGGGTGAGGGTGCACATGAGACAGAGGCAGCACTTTCCAACCACACCTGTGCTATAATTTTTTTTTTCTTATTGATTTTAGAGAGAGGGGAAGGGAGAGGGAGAGAGAGAGACAGAAACATCAATGAGAGAGAACATCATTGGCCGTCTCCTGCATGCCCCTCACTGGTGATTTGGCCCACAACCTGGGCATGTGCCCTGACTGGGAATCGAACTGGCGACCTCTTATACATGGGTCAATGTTCAACCACTAAGCCACACCGGCTGTGCTGTGCTGTGATTTTATAGCATCCCCTTTGAATGGCTTTTCAGCACTGTAACTAAGTGTTCATGTTATTTGTCTAATGGCTGTGGGCTCCACAAGGCAAGGGCCCAGCTCTGGTTTTTGTCTATTACTATATTCCTGTGCCTAGAGCAATACTAAGCACATAGTAGGTACTCAATACAAATTTAAGTAGTGGGGAGAAAGGAAGGAAAGAGAGGGGAAGGGAGAAGAGGGAGGTTCAAAGGGAAGGAGAAAAGGAAAGAAGGAAGGAAGGAAGGGAGGGAGGGAGGGAAGTAGGGAGGAAGGAAGGAAGGAAGGAAGGAAGGAAGGAAGGAAGGAAGGAAGGAAGGACTAAGAGAGGGAAATTGGGCTTACTCACAGTGTTGCCTAGAACACTACAAATTACTTGAGAAGTCTCAGTATCTTACAATCAAGGAAATGCCTAAGTGAATTCTGTGGCCATCCTGATCATGGTTATAAACTAGGGTATAGATAAATTTTGATGATACCATCTAGGTTAAGTAAAATAAAAAAAATTATATTTATCTTCTTAAATCACATCCATCTCCTACATCCCAAAGCCCAGAATAGTTAAAAAAAAAAAAAAAGTACTATGTTATTAATGTTTTACTGATAAATCCTAATCTATGTCTCCCATTTCACCTCCAGTGTAACTTTCTGTCACTAAACGTTGTCTGCTTTTATTACTATATACTGTAGAATTGTGGATGTGTTTTCTGCTTGTTCATGGTGTCTTCTCCCTAGAAGACTCCTGAGGCCAGGGACTTTGTTTGTTTGGTTTAAAGCGGGATCCCTGGGACCTGGAAAGGGGCCTGCACACACTAGGAGCTCCTTAAATACTTGCTGATTAAATTAATAAATGATTGGATGCACGGATGATTGCATAAAGGAATGAATGAGTGAACGGGTAAATGAATGAATTGATGGATAGATGATTATGTGGACGAATGAGTGAATGGTAAGTGAACGGAAGAGTGAAAGGGGCAGCTGGCCTTGGGGGGACAGAGGTAGCAGGAAGGGCGGGCCCAGCCCACTCACTTGAGGGTCTCCAGGGCCTTCAGCTGAGGGAAGGTGGCCGAGAGCTGCGTGACGCCCTCATCCCCGATCTTGTTCTGGCTCAGCGAGTCCAGGCTGCAGGTGGAGTCAGTTGGAGGGCCATCAGCCAGCACCCTGGAAGTCACCTGACCTTTCCCCTCCCTCCAACCCATCAGGAGCCTCCTCCCATGCCCCCCACCTCGGACACACCAAAGCAGATGTGTGCTCCAGAGCTTTGGGGAGCAAGTCTTTATCACCTGGGGGTACCAACTGGCCAGCCCGGGGACAAGGAAGTAGCTCCCAAAGGACCTGAATCCCTAGTTGGCTTCCTGGTAGCCCCCATGAACTTAGGTAACTTCTTGAGAACCTCTTGGGACCTCAACTGTACCGTGGGATCATTTTCTCTGACCCTGGTCCCTGGAGCCCATGAGCAACACGTGAGGGGAAGAGTTTCAAAGGTCACAAAAGGATTCAACTTTTTTTTTCTTTTTAATTTCACTCAAGGATATTTTTCCATTTATCTTCAGATAGAGTGGGAAGGGGAGAGAGAGAGAGACAAAAAAAAAGAGAGAGAGAAACCTGATGTGAAAGAGACATATCGATTGATTGCCAGGACCAGGGATGAACCGCAACGGAGGTACGTGCCCTTGACCAGAATCGAACCTGTGACTCTGGTCCACAGGCCGACACTCCAACTGCTGAACCAAACCAGCCAGGGCAAGAGGATTCGACTTTAAAAAAAATTACTGGGGATTCCCATCTGCTGTCGCTCCCCTGCAGTGGGGGTCATCTGGTCGCTCACACCAGCCCCACAAAAAAGCAGGACAGAGAGACACACACACAAACAGGGAGAGGGTTTGGGGACACCAAAGCCTGAGGTCAAGGGGAAGGCTCTGGGGTCGATACTCACTCCAGATGCTGAAGGGAGGAAAAGGCCTCAAGGATCCTCACCAGTTTGGGGAAAGCCTGGCGGCCCAAGACAGGGCCCAGCCTAGGACGCAAGAGCAGAGGTAAGACCCTGAAACAGTCATGGCTCCCCAATTCAACCCCAGGCCAGGGTACAGATGGGGCATAGAAGGCAGGCCCGCCTGAAGCTCCCTCTTTTCCCTCCCTTCCCTCCCTCAGCCCCACCAGGTGGGACCCCAAATCTGCCCTGGGAAGATTTCCCAAAACCCCCTCACGTGGCCAGTGGGGGGATTCCCAGCTTTCATCTGGGAGTGGGGTTCTCACACAGGCACCCTTCTCCTGCCCTGGCCTAGGAAAGTGGTCCCCAAATGCTGACCTGGGGATCACTACCACCTCCAAGAAAGATGGTTTACTTATTTGCCACTGCATTTGAACAACGAATAGAACTGTTTGTTGAGCACTTACTACGTGCCAGGAACGCAGCATGTCCTTCACTCAGACTAGATCTCGTTTAATCCCACAATGACTCTGAGCAAGGGGCACTTCTTATCCCCATTTTACAGATAGGGAGATGGAGGCACAGAGAGGTTAACTAACACACACAAGGTCATAGAGCCTGGATCGATTGTCATTCAGACCAGCCTTCAAGGGATGAGAAAAATAAAGACAATGGAGGGCTGTTTTGTTTTGTTCTTAAAATATGGTTAAATATATTCAGTGTAAAGCTAGAACAGTCCTCTATTCTGAAATTATATTCTTTGGACCTTAGTGACATTAAAATGTTCATTCTTTGATAAAATGATGATTCCAACAGTGGTTATTTTGCTGGTTTGAATGAATGTACTTGATACAAAGCAAAAAGACGGTAACTGCACATAGTTCCTCTGAAATATTGTGCCTTTGACACCCCCAAGTCTGGGAACCGCCAGCCTCAGTGAAAGGTCACGAGACGGAAGTCCAACGTCTGATTCAAATCTAGGATTTGCCACTTCCTTCCCCCGGGGCCTTTTGGGCAAATCTTTTCACCTGGGAACCTCAGTCTCCTAAAATTCAGCCCTAATCTTACGAGGTTTTTAGAAGGATTAAGGAATTCATTCATCAAATATTGATTCTTTGCTGCGTGTGTTCCAGGCCCATAGAGCCCATCACAGAGACAGCAAACCCTTGCCCGGTAGAGCTGCCGTTCCAGTGGGTAAGACAGATAATCAAAGAAACTGGCCAACTCTCTGGTGTGGGAGACAATGCGTGACCTGGGGAAAAGTACAGTGGCTTGTGGGACGGAATTTTACTTTTAAAAGTGGGGGTCCGAAAAGGCCTGGCTCTAGTTTTCTAGTGACAACTGGAAGGAAGTGAGGATGTGGACCACGCAGACCCTGGGGGAGAGTGTCCCGGGCAGAGGCACAGCCAGTACAGATGCTCTGAGGGAGGCAGGAGCATGCTTAGTAAGACTGAAAACCAGCGAGGAGACCCATGTGACTGGGGTGTAGTGAGCAAGGGCAGGGTTCTAGGAAGCCAGGGCGCGGGGTGCACGAGGGCTGAATCAGAGAAGAAGCCTGTCTAGCAGCAGCTGAGCAGACTGACCTAGACAGGTAGGTGAGGCCTGCAGTGTTTCGGGCACAGCGGCCATCAGTCAGACACCCCAAATAGCCTTTTCCTTCCTTCCTTCCTTTCTCAGAACTTTCTCGGGGCTTCCAGCCTCCAGGTGGCCCGTCTCCCCGTTCTGGGCTGTTCCACCCCACGGTGCTGTTCCCCAGAGCACAGTTCCGACCTTGAACTAGGGGCTTTTTAAGCTGAAAATAAGTCAAAGCTAGAGGGGCCCTTGGTGTTTTGTTTTCATACATTTCCTCTTTTCAGCAGCATTTTTATCTCTGCACAAATTTGGCAACTTGTCTGTTTGAAACAAGAAACACTTCTTTTTCTGGGGTGCAGGGGGGGCAGTGACCAGGAGGAGCAGAAAGTTTGTGGGTGGCAGCTAGGAACCTTAGGCAAGTTATTTAACCTCATTGGATCTCGGTTTCCTCATCTGTAAAATGGAAAACATAATGACTGTCCCCCAGAGTAGCTCTTGAAATTAGTGAGATTATATATCAGATGCATGGAGTACACTGTGTTTAATAATTCCTTCCTAATCATTAGATGACTATCGATTCCCTTACAAGGACCAAACACGAACTTAGCTTTTTCCTTTGTTGGAGCAAGAGCCAGGCTGCCCTGACTTTTGTGACTCTGGACAAACAATTTATATTCTTTTTTTAAAAAATGTTTTTATTTTATTTTTTTTATTCCTCACTGAGGGTATTTTTCCACTTATTATCAGATAGAGTAGGAGGAAGGGAGAGAGAGAAAGAGAAACGTGGATGTGATAGAGCCACATCAACTGGTTGCCTCCCGCATGACCCAACCAGGGCAGGGGACGAACCGCAACCGAGGTACGTGCCCTTGACTGGAACCAAACCTGCGACTCATTGGTCTGCGGGCCGACGCTCTAACCGCTGAGCCAAACCAGCCAGGGCTTAAAATGTTTTTATTGCTTTTTTTAGAGAGGAAGGGAGAGAGAGATAGAAACATGGATGTGAAACAGAAACATCATTCAGCTGCCTCCTGCACGCCCCCTACTAGGGATTGAGCCTGCAACCTGGGCATGGGCCCTGACTGGGAATTGAATCTGGACTTATTCCATGGGACTATGCGCACACTGGCTGGGCAACAATTTATATTCTCTAGGCCTCAGTGTATGCATCTGTACAATGGGGAGATAATAATACCTCCACCCTGTGTGGTCTCCCACGGTTCATCCCTACTCTTTATCAAGTTTTACTGCTGTAATCACCTCCTCAAGGAAGCCCCCTGGTCTCCCCCACAGCTGCACTCTCACAACCCTTGAATTTTCTGCTACTCATCACAGCAGGTGGCAAATGTCTAATTACACTAGGCTGCAAGCCCATTGAGGACAGTGGCCCTGTTCATCTGAGTAGGTCTGTTAAATAAATGAATAAGTATGCTCACCAGCAAACGGACCAGGTATCTTCACTCGCCCACCCTGGCCATGCCCCAGCTCCTAGAAGCCAGTTTCCACAGGGGTGGGGTGAGAGGGTAAGAATAATTCTGGGGACCCATCTGCATTCTGGTGGCACAAGCTCAGCTAATGCTGGAGAAGAAACCTCACGGGGACCCCAGATAATCCACCCTTTGCTTACGCAAACTCCAGTTTCTTTAGGTCCCGGATGGCGGGGAGTTCCCTAGGTGTGTCTTCTGAGGAATTTCGTGTCCTGGGGAGAACGGGCAATGTTAGGCGGGAACAGGCTCGTGGCCTGTTGCTGAGCCCCTACCTGTGTGTCCCAGGATTCCCTCAAAGACTGTCTTTCTTGTGGCTACTGTTGCCCACCATTAAAAAGAAAAACCTCGGGACAGGGCATTATTAAGGCATCACTGTGTACACCATAGAAGAAGCGCAGAGTGGGCACTTAGCAGCACCCATCCCAGAGTACCTAGTACATGCTCAAACAATGCATGGTGATGGCATCGGTGAAAGACAGCTGTTCTGTGGTCAAGTTTCCCCCCTCTCTGGACTTTAGACCTCTGCTACCTATAAAATGGGGATGATACTGGGCCTGGCTGCCTTGAAAGGTGGCCTTAGGTGTCACATCTGTTACTAGATGCAGAAGGCAGCTCATTAACTCTTCGCAAGGGGGAATACACCCCTGGCTTTGGCTGAGAAAGAATTAGGTACAGGATGACACGTTTTGAAGGGGACAAACTGGTAAGCCCTGGGGGCACTGCCTGGGTGGTAACTGCACTCTGGGTAGCCAGTGCCCAGGGCAAGGGTATAGAATGTCCCAGAGGAGAGCTAATGGCAAACTTGATCTTAGGTCCTATATGCCTTCAACTTGCATGGCCTGGCCCACCTCCCACCCCTTCCGCTCACCTCTGGATCTGCACCAGGTTGCCCAGGTCTTCCACGTCCTTCACGGACTTGGCTGTGAAAGGCTCAATCGTGAACTTCTCTTCCACCGCCTGCAGCAGCTTGGCCTCCCCACGCTGCTGGAGGGACTCCCACAGCCCCACCGTGTCGCTCAAGGCGGCCCTGTGGAGGGAGGGCCTCAGACCCAGGCACAGTGACTGGGCTAGACCACAGTGGAGGGGCAGCTTCGTGAAGGGACCTCCCACCTACTCAGATACTTTCCTTCTTCAACGGAACCCCCACCTCCTCCAGAAAGCCTTCAGTGACCACTCCAGCCCTTATTGGTTCCTTTTTCTCAACTTTCCGATGGGTTTTGTTTCCCATTTTGCTTTGGCTACTAGGAAGCTCAGTGCTAAACTCTTGATTGAACCCCTACAATGATGTGGGACCTTACAGCTTGGGTAAATTATGTTTAGGGGGAAGGTAGGAGAGATTCTCTGGAGATTAGGCTGAAGTGACCAAACAGATTACAGAAAAATTTAAATTAGCCAAAGTAAGGAATTCAGACTTCATCCCGAGGGTAGTAAGACACTTCTAGAGGGTTGTAAGTCTGACCAGACTCAAGTTCTGGGAAGATTGCCCTGATGGTTAAACACAGTGAGGTGGAAGAAGAGAGAATAGATGGAAGTGGGAGGTTGAGGGAAGGCTGTGGCTTTAATCCAACCATGACAGACAGTGCTGTGATGAGGGGTGGAGAGCAGAAAACAAATTTGAACCCCAAGCAGTCTTAGAGTCTAGACATGGCCCAGTGCCTGGCAGATGGTGGGCCTTCAAATATTGGTTGAAAGAATGATGCTGCCCCTCACTGGCTGTGTGACCATGGGGAAGCTGCTGTCCCTCTCCGAACATCAACTTCCTCATCTTAAAAATGAGGCAGTCACTTCTACTCCCACCTGCTGCTGTGCACACTACATGACACCCCACAGAGTGACTCAGCATGGCGTCGAGACCACAGTGGGTGCCCAATGCAAAGAAGCCCTCTTCCCTCTCCCCCGACCCCACCTGAAACGGGTGACACAGCTGAGTCCCACGAGACTCCTGAGTCCAGAGGGTTCAATGCCAGTGCTGCGGAGGTCCAGAGAAAAGTCACGGCCCGCTGTCTCCAAGGTGCTGCCCAGTACGTGGATGTCTGGAGGTGTGAGCCGGGTACCCAGGAAGGAGAGGTGAGCAGGGAGCCCCTGCACCACATGCTGCCAAAGGCCAGCGTCCGACGCCTCATGGGCACAGTGCAGCAGCTCCAGCAGCCGCCCTGCCTGCAGCAAACCTGGCTGCAGCCGCTTCAGATACCTGCTGAGCACCTTCTGCTTCTTGTCCGCCACCGCGGCCACCGCCGGGCCTGCCAGGACTCCCAGGCAGCGGGCTCGAGGCTGGAAGACCAGCCCGGCCAGGAAGCGCGGCACGCCCTCCAGCCAGTTGTCATAGGGTCTCTTCTTCCTTGGGGTTAATGCCAAATACTGCGGCAGCTCCTTGTCCTTGATCTCACTGCTGAGAGCCAACCACACGGCCCCCAAGAAGCACTGCAGGAGGAAGCTGTGGAAGAACAGCTCGGTCTCTGGGGCTCCAGGGGCGGGCTGCACCAAGCCTTTGGCCACAGCCCAGGCCCTCACCTCCACTGAAGGGAACTGGTCCTCTTGCAGGGTGCTGTGATGTTTGCGGCCCAGTTCCCAGGCCAGCCTGGCCAGTGTCTCCAGGGCCCCTGGGGGGCTGTCACGGACTGTTGGGCCTAGTAAGCCAACGTAGAGTCCGGTAAGTGTGGAAGGCAGCTCAGCCGCCTCTCCCAGCTCCAGGAGGGCCTCCGAGAGCTGGCACACGGCCCGGCACACAGTGGGACTGTGGCAGTGACTGAGAAGGAGCGGCTGACCCCGGAGGAGTGCCAGGGCTCTCTCCTGGTGGCGGGTGGCCCCCGACTGCTCAAAGTAGCGCGCCAGGTAGGTCTCAGCCTGCTCGGTGGAGAAGCCGGCCATCTGGAACAGGGCGTCAGCCTTGCTGAGGCTCTGGGCCAGGCGGCCCCGGGACCGGGCCATGACCAGCAGGGTGCAGCCTCGCAGCAGCTTGCGCTGCAGGAGGCCGGATAGCAGCCCCCGAAGGGAGCGGGGTTCCCTGGACATGGGTTGGCTTGTACTGTGCACGAGGCCCTCTTGGGCTTCGAGCTCCTCACAGGCGTCCAGGATGAGCAGAACGCGGTCAGGCCTCCTCAAGATGTGACCAAAGACCTCGCTGTCCACCGGCCGTGGCTGCGGGCTCAGGGAGAAGAGCAGATCCTGCAGGCGGTAGGTGTCCCCTGAACGGTCCACACCGTGGCAGGGCAAGTAGAAGACAAAGTCGTACTGCGGCAGCTCGCCAGAGGCCCAGCTCCGGGTCACTGCCCGGGCGCAGTGGCTCTTCCCCTGTCCTGCCTTGCCCAGCACAGCGATCACCCGTGTCTCACGCAGCCACTGGCGGTCACCAGCAGCAAGCAGCACCTCGGCCAGACCCCTGTGGGCTGGCTGCTGCTCTGCCCAGTCCAGGGTGACCAGTTCCCTCTCCAGGCTCTTGCTGCTGCTCCTCTCCAGCCGTGCCCGCACCAGGCCCACCTCCACCAGGATGCCTTCCAGGCCTGCGGGCTCAGCCTGGTACTTGTCCCGAAGCGAGCGGCAAAACTGCTCCACACTCTCTGCAAAACCAAAGGATATATGGAGTGTGGGGAGGATGCTAGTGGCAGGACTGGCCACCTTGTGGGCAGCCAAGAGGCCAGCCTGGCCACCATCGCTAGCTTCTTCATTTGTTCACCACACAACCCTCACCAACTACCTTCTTTATTATTATTATTATTATTATTATTATTATTTTATCCTCACCTGAGGACATTTTTCTAATTTTTTTTGTTCAGGTAGAGTGGGAGGGGGAGAGAGGAAGAGAGAGAGAAACATCGATGTGAAAGGGACACATCGAGTGGCTGCCACCCGCACGACCAACCAGGGCCGGGGACAAACTGCAACCAAGGTACGTGCCCTTAGCGGGAACCGAACCCGGGTCTCTCGGGACCGCAGGCCGACGCTCTAACCGCTGAGCCAAACCGGCCAGGGCTACCTTCTTTATTAGATGCTTCATTCAGTTACCCAGACACTCCTTCATTCCTTCAGCTTCTCACTTATTTACCTATCAACTCCTTCATTTACTCACTAACCTTCTTCTGCTCACCCACAATAGGGAGGACGTGGGTGGGGTGTTGAGTTAAAATTGTGGAATCCATGTGTCTAGTTCGCATCCTAGCTTCACCACTTATTAGTGTACTCTTGAGCATGTTACATACCCCACTATGCCTCATCTGTGAAATGGGGATGTCAACACTGAGCGTGGCCTTATTACGGGGTAGGTCCTCAGTAAATATCACTTAAGAGTGATTGAGTGCGGCCCTGGCCGGTTTGGCTCAGCGGTTAGAGTGTCGGCCTGCCGTCCGGAGAGACCCGGGTTCGGTTCCCGCTAAGGGCATGTACTTCGGTTGCAGTTTGTCCCCGGCCCTGGTTGGTCGTGCGGGTGGCAGCCACTCGATGTGTCCCTTCACGTCGATGTTTCTCTCTCTCTCTCCCTTCCTCTCTCACCCTCCCACTCTATCTGTACAAAAAATGGAAAAATATCCTCGGGTGAGGATAAAAAAAAAAAAAGAGTGATTGAGTGAGGAATGAATGCTGGTATGATAGAGGGCCCACATGAGTGAGTGAATGAATGAATGAACCAACAAATAAGGGGTTGAATAAGTGTTGAGTGAATAAGCGAAATAAAGTTAGATTTTGCTCCCGCCTCCAACACTCAAGGCAGAGGGACCCTGCTACCACTCACCAGGCCATTTTGGAAGCTTGCTGGAGACCTCGTCAGCTGCCAGGCATTGGGTGGGAGACATCTTGTCCTCTAGAGATGAAAAAGGAGGTGCCAGAGTTAGGGTGAGGGGTACCCTAGGGTCTTCCCTTCCTCCGAGACATCCAGTCCTCTGAGTATACAGCGGTTAGAGCCGACAAGGGTTGGGGAGGGGGTCACAAAGTGGGGACTTGTATCCTGCCCAAAGATGTCCTTTGGCCAGCTTTACTTTTAAAATCTTTCACTGATGTTTTAAAAAATTACAATATCTATGTAAAAATCAAGATTTCTAGATTATGCCAACAATTGAGAAGATCTGGCCACACTGGGCTTTCCTGCTGGGTGACAAGCTGGTGAAGGCTGGTGGTCTTGTCTAGGTGGAACATGGGTTCTCCAGCTGTCCCCTCACCCACCCTCTCAGACCCCCCGGAGGCCCTCCCTGCCCTGTTTTACATAAACATGGAGTGCTTGTCTCTAGAGTCCGCTGTCTGTGGACCCGACTGACTGAAGCAATTCTTTACCCCAGAACCTGAATCCTGCTCCCAGTTACTCTCACAGGCCCTGAGGTCCTTACCTGTTACGTTTGCGCGGGAGGTCAGGGCAGGCTCTGGCATGCTGGGAAGGTCAGTTGCGGATGGGGTGAAGGGACTGGTGGAGCCAGGCCGGTCTGGGGACTTTGGGAGGCTGTGGATAGCTGGACTGCTGGAAGGGGGTGCTTGGCTGGCCTGGGGCATCTCACCTACATTCGGTGGGAAGGGAATATAGAATAACCAGGGGTCCATCCAGGAACCCACTTGAGTTACCCAACCTCAAGTCAGGCTATGGGGCTTGTGAAGTCTGGGGAGAGGAGAAGGGAACGTCCAAAGGGCAGCATTTCAGGATGGAGTTGAGGAAAGAACTCTGTAGTTACATTTAGCTTCTGGAGCCTTGATTTTCCCACCTGTGAAATGGGCACAATCAGCTCATAGGGAGCTTAGGGCAAGGGCTACTGTGGCACTGTTTCTACTGTATGGTCAGTCCTCATTTTCCTAGCTACTCAAAATGTTTGCCTGCTTCTGGGGCACCAGTGCATTATACAAAAACTGGCCTGTGACCTTCAAAGGATGCTCTTCAATCGAGTGGAAGTGCAGCCCTAACCTCATTCTCTCTCATCCCTGAGGGCTGAAACATGCCTTCCCCTGGGCAATTCACAGCCCATCAATGTGGCAGCCAGAAGGGAGCATTGTACTGATCACAAAACAAGGAAATTCAGAGAAAGCTGTGCAAGGGTGCACACAAAACTGTTCACAAGAGTATACTAAAAGAGTGAGGGAAACACTCAGTAATTCTTATAAGCAACTCTTACTGTTTGGCTTTTTATTTAAAAAAAAATTTTTTTTTTGGTTAATCCTTACCTGAGGATACTTTTCCATTGAATTTTTAGATAGAGTGGAAGGGGGAGGGGCATCAATGCAAAAGAGACACATCGTTTGCTTGACACATTGATTGTTGACTCCTGCACGACCCTGACTGGGGCCAGGGATTGAACCCGCAACTCAGGCACATGCCATTGACTGGGAATCGAACGCACGACCCTTCAGTCTGCAGGCCGATGCTCTAACTGCTGAGCCACACTGGCCAGGGCTTGTTTGGCTTTTTAATGAGTATGTATTGATGTTGTAGTTTAAAAATAGAATAATGTTTAATAGTGGGGGGGGAAGGAAGAAAAGACTAAGGCTTAGTGGGGGAAAGTGACACATAGAAGGCCACACAGCCACTCAGTGGGTCACTCACCCAGACCACCTTGGGAATCTCTGCTCTTCTACTTTGATTCTTGGGAAATGGGAACACAGAAAGGTGTTCCGAGGAGGGAGGGTCAAGCTAGGGTACTAGGCTACAACCACCAAATGCCTGGGGTGTGGGGGAGGACCTAATCAGGAAGTAGTCAGGTAGCAGGGACAGAGGGTGGAGGGCAGGTCTCACTCACCTTGGTAGATGAGGATACTGGACACCTCTGTCCCAGTCCCTGAGATCTGCCAGAGCCCCTGGGGCAGAGCAGGGAGAGTGGAGGTGACGTGGATGGGTCCGGCTGGGAGACTCAGGCAATTTGACAAGGAACTCGAGAGGGGCACTGCAAGAGACAAGGGCAGTGAGGGGGACCCTCTGCAACACCTGTTTGTAATCCTGCCTTGTGATTACAGTCGGCCCTCGCCACTTTGCACTTCGACTTTTGTTGCTTCACTCTTTTGTGTTTTTTTTCAAATATATTCATTAAAAAGTTGATCGAGACAGTGAAAATGACACAGCGTGCGCTCAGTTGTCTGAGTCAATTATACACCCTGGATTACAATTACAATTAAAATTACTGTACGCATGGACTGTAGGCCTTTGTATTCGAGCACCCCAGGAATCCTTCAACGCCAGGTGCAACCACCAGAGTTTGGAACGGATTAACCGCGATAAACGAGGGATGACTGTAACATCTGACTCCTTTCGAAAGGGCTCCAATCTCTCTAAGAGCAGCAGTTGTGTCTGTCTTGCCCATGGCAGTGTCTGGCACCTAACAGGGTCGTGGCACAGAGAGGTCGCCGCTCACAGCTGATGAGTGCGTTGGCTGGCGGGTGATTCTTCAGTTGGTGGGAATTCCTTGCTGTGCCTCCCAGGAACACGGTTCCTTCCAGAGCATGTACCTTCCAGGTACAGACTAAGTTGATGAGACTCAGAGGATGGGACTGGCTAGGATGGAAGTGGGTGAGACTGGTCGGGGGAGGGGTTCCTGTCCTTGGTGGCCCCTGCCTTAGTCACTCCATAGGCACAGGGAGTCAGGAGGGCCACCTTCTCCAAGCCCCTTACATACCAGGCCACAGGATGGGTTCCTCCAGCTGGATCTGGGCAGATGTTGGTTCCTTGTTGAACACAGCGGGTGGTGATGGGCAGGGCAGAGCTGAGGAGTCACTCACTGGCCCCACCAGAAAAGTACCAGTCACCATGGGCACAGGTAGGGGTTCAGCTGTGTGGAAGGGGCCATGTTAGAGGCTGCATGAGGTCTAGGGGGGCCTAGCAGGGCGTTTCTGGGAGGAGAGCGCTCCAGGAGCAGAGAGGATCTCTGTCCCGGCACCTGGAGGAAACTTCTGCCCTCTTCTCACCCCTGGGCGAAGCTGGTTTGATCAGCAACTATTCTGTGCCAGGCAGCTAGCCCCTGTCCTCAGCCCTTTCCTTGTGGCTGACCCTCAGAGCTTCCTGAGACAGACACCTAGTGATGACCCCACCAGGCCACTAAGGCAAGGCAGACCTATAAACAGTCTGTTGGCCCAGGTCCCCACCACCTTCTACAGCCAGTCACAGGGTCCCTCGGTGGACCCTAAGGAGTCCCAACAGTTCCCACAGAAAAGAGGGGTTGTATCCCCATCAGACTGGGGCAGGTGTTTTTCTCCTCTGTTTAAGAGGAGATCTAAGCTTGGCCAGTGTGGGTCAGTGGATTGAGCGCCATCCCATGGAATGAGAGGTCTGGGTTCGATTCTTGGTCAGGGCACATGCCCAGGATACAGGCTCGATCCCCAGTAGGGGGCGTGCAGGAGGCAGCCGATCATGTCAATGCTTTTTTCTCTCTCTCCCTTTCTCTCTAAAAAAATCACTAAAAACATATATTTTTTTTTTCTTTTCTTTTTTTTTTTTTTTAAGAGAGAGAGGAGCTCTAAGAGGGTAGAGACTTGCTTCCCCCACTGGATTGGGAGTTCCCTAAAGACAGGGACTACTTCCCTGTTGTTCTGGGATCTTCACAGGCAAAGCCCCTACCTCCCCCATCAGATTGGAACTCTCTAAGGTCAGGGGTGAGGCTTTCTCCATCAGACGAGGAGCCTTTCATTCTGCAGTCTGTTACCCACTCAGGGGCTGGTCTTTGCAATAACAACTGGGTGAGAGGAGAGGGGAGTGGAGGGGAAGAAACAGAGGAAGCATCTGGGGGGAGAAGATGGTGAGCTAGGAGGAAGAGGATCACTGAGTCATGGGGGGCAAGAGGGCACTGGGTGACCAGCTGACCCCAGATGCTGCACTCTGCAAGGAGAAGGCACTGGGCAGTAGAACAAGATGGGGGTGGGGAGACAGGGTCTCGGCTCTGACTCCGCATAAAGAAGAGGGCATATCAGAAAAGAGGCTTTGTAGGAGAAGCTGAGTCTCCCAGCAGCCCTTGAACTGTACAAACTATGAAATCAGAATCTTGGTTTCAATCCCAGCTCCTCTTCTCACTAGCTGTGTGATCTTGAACAAGTGGCTTCACCTCTCTGATCCTTGGCTTTCAAATGCCAGTTTATAGGCACAGCTGAGGAGGCCCTGGCTTTCCTGCCTCGCAATCTCCTTGGGCCCACCAGCCCTGCTCACCCAGCTTCCTGTGCTTCAGGTCCACAGGCAGCTCCTCTGGGAAGGCTGCAGAGAGAAGACCGTGTCAGCAGCCCCAGGGAAGGGGCGGTCCAAGCCAGGAGGGGCTCCTGGACCCCAGCAGGCCAAATAGCTTTGCCTTAAATGGCTGGGATGTGGCCTTTGGGGTCCCATTCTCTTGCCCTGACCATTCCTGCCCCCCTCCCTTGCCTGTCTGCTTGTGACCAAACCCCACCTCAAAGCTCGCAGGGCAGGGAGGCGCTAGAAGTAGCAGAAACACAGAGGGAACAATCTAGATGAGTTAGAGTTTTTAAAAATAATAGTAAAAAAACAACAACATGCTTTTGATCCCTTCTTGTGTGTCTTTGCAACACAGCCTCTCTGAGCCTGGGGTTTCTCATCTGTGAAGTGGGGTGTGGGGAGGTGTGATTTCCACCTCACCGCAGGAGTACATTGAAAATCAGTGAGTGAGTACCACTTTGCACAGCAGTAAAGAAAGAACACTGTGTCGCTTAGCAAGGGGTAAACAAATCATGGCTCATCCACCAACGAAATACTCATGCAGCCCTACAAATGAACAAAGATGCTGAGATGTATGGGGAAGTGTACTGGTGTCTGCAATTTACTTTTAAATGTTCCAAATATAACACGAATGAAAGGGTGGATGGATAGGCGGATGGGCAGATGGATAGAGACGCGTTACGGCGAATAGAGCCAAACATGAATTGTAGAATGTAAGTGGTAGGTATGTGGTTGTTTGGAGTAATTTTTCCATCTTTATGGTCTGTGGAAACTTTTCACAGTAAAATATTGAACAAAATTTTTATTAAATGTAAACAAGAAAGAGAGAGAGAGCAAAGATGGAAAGAAGAAAGGAAGGGAGGGAGGGAGGGAGGGAGGGAGGGAGGGAGGGAGGAAGGAAGGAAGGAAGGAAGGAAGGAAGGAAGGAAGGAAGGAAGGAAGGAGAAGGAAGGAAGGAGGAGAAGGAAGGAAGGAAGGAAGGAAGGAAGGAAGGAAGGAAGGAAGGAAGAAGGAAGGAAGGAAGGAGAAGGATGGAAGGAGAAGGAAGGAAGGAGAAGGAAGGAAGGAAGGAAGGAAGGAAGGAAGGAGAAGGAAGGAAGGAAGGAAGGAAGGAAGGAAGGAAGGAAGGAAGGAAGGAAGGAAGGAAGAAAGGAGAAGGAAGGAAGGAAGGAAGGAGGGAAGGAAGGAAGGAAGGAAGGAAGGAAGGAAGGAAGGAAGGAAGGAAGGAAGGAAGGAAGGAAGGGTACCCTGGAGGCAGGACCATTTTTCATCAATAATACAGAAATGACCTCCCAGACATGTCAAATGAAGAAAGCCAGGAGAGAACAGTATAATAAAAATTTGGTCATTTGTATAGAAAATTAAAAAAAATAAAAAAGATTTGGCATATAGATAAATAACATTTCTAAGAAAAAGGAAACTTAACAACAAAGGTGGCCTTCAGGGAGGGAAACAGGGAAATAAACTGAGGAAAACTCTTTGAAAATAAAGAAATTGATACAGGACTCACACATGATCTGGTACATAGTACGCACTTGATTAACTGTTATGCCCACTTTACAGACATTTTCATTCAATCGATATTTATTGAGAAACTGTTGTATGTCAGGCACTGTGCTAGATGCTGAGGATGTATGATGAGTGAGAAAGACAAGGTCCCTGTCCTCACTGTGGGGGCCCTGAGGCTAGAAAGAGTGGAGGGTTATAGGAATGGAAAGAAGTCGGTGTGGCTGGAGCACAGCGGCTTATGGGGATATTGGAGTGGTGGAAAGGGCTGGATCATGCAGGCCTTGTGCTATGTATTTTGTAGCCATTGGAAGGTTCACAGGGAAGCAAAATGATCTGATTTGTATTTAATAGCTTGTGTTGGCTCCCAGGCGAGGACAGATTGAGGAGGCAGGAAAACAGTAGGAAGCTCAAAAAGTTGCGGGTACTTGCCACAGTCACAGAGAGCATAAAAAGCAGATCCAGGATTAAAACCCAGTACCTGCTGACTTCAAAACCTGTGCTTGAAGAGACCTCCCTCAAATACAGGAGTGATAACTAAGGACAAAAGGGAAAGTCCTTAGGAAATGGCAGTCAGTACGGCCAGTGATAGAGACCCACCAGGAGAGTAGCAGTCTGCCTGGGCTGCTGGCTTCCTCCCTGGGTCACCAGGGAGCAGTGGTGTGAGAAGAGGCAGTTGGGAAACCCAAACCCAGGCAGACTAGACAGGAGTTAATAAGGGAAGCAACTGGGAGCCACAGCAGGCTTTGGAGCCAAGCAGGGCCAGGAGTCAAGCAAGGCTGGGTAGGATCAGGGAGGGGCTCACTCACGTCTTTTTTGACATTTTTGTCCTGCTTCCTCCAGCACCTCCACAGTCTCGCTGATCATTTCTTCTAATCCTATGTGCTCGACTTTGGAGAAAAACCAAGGACACCAACATGCACAGTCAATGGACGCCCCAGGTGAACCTGTGTTGTTTCTATGTTGGGAAGGGATCTGACCACCTGTCAAAGGGTGGCCTTCAGCTATTACAGTGCTCCCCAAGGAACAAGGAGCCAAGAGCCCCCAACTTACTGAAAATGTCTTTGCTCAGGCCCTCGAACTGGGAGTCCTGGAACACGTACTGGTCCAGTTCCGCTGCCCAGACAAAGAAAAGTGCAATCAGCGAGTTCTCAATAATGTTTGCTGAGTGATCAGATTCACAAAAAAACACTGAACCTTCATGGGCTCTTAATCTAATTGAAGGGGTGGGGTCTGTACCCATAAACACTTATCTATTGCTATAAAGTAGTGCAGTGCAACGTGGATGAGTTGTCAGGGGGGCTTGAGTTTAAATTCCAACTCTATCCCCCACTAGCCCTACAAGTTATGTGACCATGAGCCAGTTACTTAACCTCTCTCAGCCCCCATTTCATCATCTGTGTAATGAGAATAAATGGTGCCTACAACCCAGGGATGGATGGTGAGGATTGGAGGCGCTACATTGAAAGCATCCAACACAGTAGTCAGTACACACTAAGCACTCAATAAACAGTGGCTAATTATATGAAGTAGGACATGATTTGGCACCAATGGGAAGACCATGATCATGGCAGGAGGTCAGAGGAGAGAGTGGGATGGGGCAGCCAGGGAGCACTTCCCAGAGGAAGGGATCCTGGAGCCAGGCCTTGAAATATGGGCAGCGTCTGAGAGGTCAAGAGTGGAGGGCTTTGTGGATAGTGGAGACAGAGCAAGAGAAGGTGTTTGGGGTACATGTGGGAAACTGAGAGACAGGTGTTTGCAGTAGAAGTTTCATGTTGGAGAAAGTTGGGACTTGACTTATAGACACTGGAAAGCCATAAAAGGCTTCTGAGCTGAGGAATGGAGTGAGGGCAACAATAATAATGAGGATGACGCCCAGCTGGTGTGGCTCAGTGGATTGAGCATCATCCCATGGACCGAGAGGTCCCAGTTTGATTCCCAGTCAGGGCATATGCCTAGGTTTCGGGCTCGATCCCCAGTAGGGGGAGTGCAGGAGGCAGCCCGCTGATGTAGCTCTCTCAAATTAATGTTTTTACTGTTTTCTCCCTTCCTCTCTCTCTAAAAAACCAATAAAAACATATTTTTTTAAAAGTAAAAAAAAAAAATGAGGGTGATGATAATGATGGTGGTGATGACTGTAGTGGTGGGGTGATGCCTAACACTTACTGAATGTGTACTCTTTGCAAATTCCTCTTCTAACTATTGTACACACAGACATGTATTCAATCCTCACAGCTGTCCCATGGGGCAGGTGTGAGTACTATTCCCATGTTTTACACAGATGGAAGCCCACATAATATTTCAGAATGTCTCCAATGACTGTGTGCCCAGGCAGGGTGAGGCTTTCTAGGAGTACAGAGAAAACCCACAGTCTTGAGGAACTCAGGCAGCTCCATTTCCTGTGTAAACGCCCCTATGGGAAAAACCTCCCAAATCCTAAACAATGCCTAAATCCTTTATTACAGCCTCCAGCTGTGAGGAAGTGCTGATTGCCCTCAGCCCCAAACACTTCTGCTTCCCACAAGTAAATTCCCAGGAAGGAAAGGAAGCAGGCAGGCTCTCGGTTCTGTAATTTTGAGACGCCTCTTCATTTTCTGCCCTGGCGTGATGATGGATTAACTGTACCCTGGGGAAAGACTGGCCACATTTGTGCTGAGCACGGACCTCCTGAGTCATGTGCTTCTTGGGGTGCAGGAAAAGGGCAACTAAGAAAAGTTGTGTGGTTGTTCAGTGTACAAGGGTGCTCAACTGAGAGGGCAAATGGAGGCAGGGAATTCAGCCTGTACTTTAAACTTTTTCTTATTGATTTTAAAAAGAGGAAGGGAGAGAGAGAGAGATCGATCAGTTGGTGCCTCCCTTGTGCACCCTGATCAGAGATCAAACTCGCAACCTAGGTATGTACCCTGACTGGGAATCAAACACCACCTTTTGGTGTACAGGAGGATGCTCCAACAGAGCTACACCAGCCAGGGCTCACCTTGCACCTTAATAGCTAAGCTGTCACTTCCTGGTGAGGGCTGCATCCTTCAGAAGAAGGGGCATCTTTTTCTAATTCAACAAAGTCTCTGGATGAGATAGTGGTGACTCTGGTGAGGAAGAATTCTCTACCCCACCCCAACCCCAAAACAACAGAGCAGATACCTCTCTCCAAAGAGCTCTGCTTTTATCTGAAAGCTGTATGTAGCTCTTTTTCAAGCTGCAATCCAGCCTCTCAGCTCATGCCTTAGCAAACCTTCCAACCCCAGATACTTCCTTCTTTATGGTTAAGAACAAGACTTTGAAATGAGAAGACAGAAGTCAGAATTTCAGACCTGCACACTACTATCTCTAAGGCAGCCTCAGGTAGATTGCTTCACCCCTGAACTTCAATTTTATTATCTGTAAAGTGGAGATACTAATAATCTACTTCTTTTGTTGTAAGGATGCAATACATCTGGCAATTAGAAAGCAAGGGCAAATACTAGAGTAGTTTGGCTTAGGAGTTGGGGAGAAAGAGAGGGAGGGATGTATAGCATGGGCTTTAAGGAAAGGAAGGAAAGAACAAGAATTAGAAAAAGATATAGTAATGGAGGCAAAGGATGTAAAAGGGAGATTTTGTTTGCTGGTGGGTCATTAGTGGAGCGATCTATTTCCCTCACTATTCTCTATCTTCTTGGAGTTTCCCTAAAGTCTCTGTTCTTTTAGCCCTCATCCACATCCCCCTTGCCCTGGTTTCTGAGAGAGGGGCCTGCTGTGGCTCATAGTGAATGGGTGAGATTAAGAAAAAAGAAAAAAGAACCTTTCCCCTTAATTGCCCTTTTTCTGGGCTCAGAGTACTTTCTCACCGATATTGGCATAAGCCTCTCTGGTCTCTTCGTCCCCTTCTATGTCACACAACAGCCTGCTGAACTGTTCGCAGTTGATGGTGTCTGTGTCAGGTTCTGTGGGAAAAAGCCCTTGAACGAAGCAGGAAAGATCTAGGCAGAGGGCTGGTGGGGAAGTCGGGAGAGGTGAGCGGGCTGGGCTGGGAAACATCCCCATAGAGAGCCTCTTGCAGGGATGGAAGCTGTCCGCGGTGCTGACCGGAGCTCATTGGCCAGCACTTAACACTGGTTGCTGCCGGTCTGCACTGCAGGCTGAGGGGTAGGGAGGAGATTGGGAGGGCGGCGCAGGGAAAACTCACCAGAGCAGAGCTCAGTCTCTTCGTCTCCATCCAGGTCCATCTGGTCATAGAGGTGGTAGAGCTGCAAAGGGTCGGCACTGCTGTTGAGAAGCTCCAGGTACCCACCTTCCAGAGGCCCCAACTCCATGGTAGCACACTGTCCACTGCCTGGAAGGGAGACACACGTGGTCACCTCATGGGATGTTGAAAAGATGCAGAGAATTAACATAGTTCCCAGCTGAGTCACTTGGCAAAAGCCAGGGTTGGGGTAGCCAAAGAAAGTGAGCAAAAGAGATCATTCAGCACCTCTTACATGCTCAGGGCAGTGGGAAGAGGAAGCCATATTTTCTTCCTCCAAGACACTTCCGATTACACTGGGAAGATGCCCATGATACAGGAGAGGGAACTGGAGAAGTGTAGAAAAAAGACATCTTACACTTGTGAGCCAGGAAACCTGAGTTCCACATCTTGCACTGCCATAAATGATGACAGCTAAGACTGAGAGAGCACCTACTATGTGCCAGACATGTAGATTAGATACTCACCTCAACAATCATATGATTCGGGCACTATGATGCAGGTACTCATTTTACACATGAGTAAACTAAGTCTCAGAGAGATGAAGTGACTTACATAAAGTAACCCAAATTCAAGCGGAACCAGGATTTGGTTCTGGGCAGTCTGACTAAAGGGCCTGCATTCAACAGTTATGCTTTACTGCTGTGGGTGACCTTGAGCAATTCTCTGCTCCTCTCTGTGCCTCAGTTTCCTAATTTATACATTGAAGGAGTTGGGGAAGATTCTCTGTAACTTTCTTCATTATTATTTGTTAATGAACATATCAAATATCTTAGATACTACTTCATTTAATCTTCAAGACAACCTTAGACATGTCAACACAAAAACTTGTATACAAAGCATAAGTGTATAAATGCATAATTCATAACAGCCAAAATACAGAAACAACTTAAATGTCCATCAGTAGATGAATGGATAAACAGGATGCAGTAAATCCATACAATGATTCAGCCATAAAAGAAACAAAGTATCAATACATGCTATACCATGTGCGAAACTAGAAAACAATTATGCTAAGTGAAAGAAGCCAGACTCAAAGGGCCACATACTGTATGATCCCATCTATATGAAATATGCAGAATAGGCAAATATTTAAAGACAGATAGTAGGTTAGTGGTTGGCTAGGGTTGGGGAAGGGTCGTGTGTGTGTGTGTGTGTGTGTGTGTGTGTGTGTGTGTGTGTAAAATGGTGAACAAGTGCTAATGATACAGGGTTTCTTTTGGGGAGGATGATAAAAAATGTTCTAAAGTTGACTGTGGGGAGGGTTGCACAACTGTATGCATAAACTAAAAATACCTTTAGATTGTACACTTTAAATGGGTGAATTTTATGATGTGTGAATTTTATACCAATAAAGTTTTTAAAGCAAAATGAAACACTAACCCTGGAAGGTAGGCTAGCTCTTGCTGGCTAAACCCAATTTGAAGCCTCATCTGTGTGGCTCCCAGACCCCAACCTGCTCCCTAGTTCAGGTATTCTACAATTCCATGGTGTGTTCATTTCCTAGGCTACTGCAACAAAGTGCCACAAACCGAGCATCTTAAAACAATACAGCCTTATTCTCTCCCAGTTCTGGAAGCCGGAAGTCCAAAATCAAGATGCTGATAGGGCCATGGTCCCTCTGGAGGCTCGGAGCGGGGGTGTGGGTGGGAGGATCCTTCCTTGCCTCTTCCAGTTTCTGGGAACTGATGGCATTCTCTGTCTAACATGTGCTCTTGTGGCCAAGCCACTATAATCTCTGCCTCTGTGGTCACATCACCTCTTTTTGTCTCAAATTTTCTGCCTTTTTCTTATAAGGACACTTGCCATTGGATGTAGGGCCCACATGGACAATCCAGGATAATCTCATTTCAATATTCTTAACCTAGTTCTGTCTGCAAAGGTCCTTTTCCAAAATAAGGTCACATCCACAGGTTCTAGGGATTTGATGGGGATATCAGGGGTTTCAGGGATCACCCTTCAATGCACATGGGACACGGATACACGTTGGAAGGAATCAGAGGGAGCTTCTTGGAGGAGGTGAGAGAAGAGCTGGCCTTGAAGGCCAGGGGATGTGAGAGAGCCTTGTGAGTGCCCCTGCCTGACCCAGGAGAAAATGGAGTTGAAGCGGGGAAGGGCAGTGGGAGGGTAAGGTCGTGAGAAAATACACAGGACTCACCACCTTCCAGCTGCTTCTTTTCCTTTCACTCATCAGCAACTCTCACCACCTATGGAGAGTCTCAACACAGACCAGCTGTCACGGAGAATGGACTCTCGAGACAACATCGGGCCCTGGCTAGAGCTGTTTATAATGGGTTAGGCGGTGGTTTCAGGAACCCACACGCCAGGCTTGCATCAAAGGCCCAGCCAGCCATGACTGGAGGAAGCGAAACTGAAAGACAGAGCTGCCATCCTTTTCCTGGAGTGGGGCCTGGCTGGGAGCTGGGGGAGGAAGAGGAGCTGCATCTCTCCCAACAGGGGCGCTGAGGGCTGGTCAAGCAGTCCACTGTTCTCTCCAGGATGAGGAGAAAAGATTTCCCTGCCCCAGATCTCGCCCATTGCCTGCCTCCCACATTCAGTCTGTGCTATTTGTTGAGAGTCTACCTTGTAGCCAGCCATCTGCCTCTTCTTCCAGGCAGCGAGATTTGGTGACCACAGCTCAGGACTGACCCTAGCAATTTCAGGAATGAGTTGGATGACGTTGGTCAAGGTACTCAATCTCTGTTTTCTCACAGGGTATCAGGGCTGCCAGGGACCCGCAGCCTCCTTCATTCCTCAGAGAACTTGAGGCCCTGAGAGGGGGTGAGCCTTGCACATGGCCCTGCAGCCTGCCAGTGGCCACGCCTGCACCTGATTCCCTGGTACAAGACTCCCAGCCTACTGCTCTTTCTGGCCAATCACAATATTTCCATTCAGATGAACCCCACATTGTCTAGGCCCAAGAAGAGGAACCAGCTTCTTTTACAGATGCATACTGGCAGGAGGTTCAGTGGGGGAGGGCTAAAAAAGTATAGCCCAGTCTCACTTATCATCAACAGGCTCAGCTTCAAACTTTGGGCAATATTGCCAAGTGTGGTCAAACACCAGGAAAACACACTGACAGAGAGGAAGAAGGCAATTCACATGAGTTTTGGAGTCAAATTGCCTGACTCTGAAAACACTCCTACCTACCAACCCACTGCAACATGGCCAGGTTCATTTTCTAAACCTTCTGGAGCATCAGTTTTGTCACATATAAAACGTGGAATATAATAAGGGTTAGGTAAGCTAATTCATGTAGAGACCTTAGGAAGGTGACTGGTGCTTAGTAAGCACATAATGAATGGAAGCTTAAAACAGCATCCAACAGATTCATGATGAGTGCAGTATGGGTGATGGTCAGTAGCAGTAGTAGTAGTAGGTGGTGGTAGTAGTAGTAGTAGTAGTAGTAGTAGTAGTAGTAGTATTTTATTATAATTTACCTCTTACCTCTGAGGTTGACTAAGGGACAATTTCTCTTTCACTCCTGCCTGATTCATCACATTGTCAAGCCAAAATTTCTGTTGTTTTGCATGAGGCTTCACAGACCCCATAGGAACAAGAAAGCCTGACAATCGGCAGTGCCATCTGGGAGGTCTGATTCCCTCCACCCCCACCCCACCCATCACCACCACTGAGAAAGTATCTGAGAGAAGGCACCTCAGGGCCTGAGTTCTGTGTCATTGGCTCAACCTGGCCAGGAAGAAATCTGCTCTCAGACACCTCCAACATGCACCGTGACACCTCCCTTCCCCAAAATGAACCCTGCACCTTGCACACGACCTCTCAAGTTGACAGGGATTTTCAACTCACAATACACTCCTGCCTCCACCCTCATGCACCCACCTGAGCTCCCAAGGAGCCTCGGGAGAAGGCAGGATGGAGTATTATGCATACTAGACAGAGGAGGATACTCAAACGCTTATCCAAGGTCACCTGGTTCGAGAGCTTGAGTTTGAATTCCGGCTGGGAGGCTTTAGGCAAATGACTTAACTGAGTATCTATTTTCCCACCACTACATGGGGATAATGAACCCTACCTCGTGGGACCATCAAAAGGCCAAGAGGGGCTCTGTGTGATGCACCAGGCCCACAGGAGGCCCACAGTTAAAGAAACCCCATTATGTTGGGAAGTCTCAGAGCTGGTACGTAGACCCAAGAGTCTAAGCTCTCAGTCTAGCTCTCCCTGCAAGGCCACAGGGCCTCCCATTCATGCCAAGATCTACATGCCAAGCCTAGCCCATCTCCTCTCCAGTGTTCCCACAACCATGCTGCCTGTGTCTCTGGATGCTTAGGATAGTACTCAAAGGCCCCTCAACAGAACTCTTTTTCCTACCTGTAATTCCAGAGGGACTGAAGGCAGGGACGGCCTTGGTCACCACGCTGCAGAGGAGAGAGCCCTCTTCAGCTGCCCAGCACAGGGCAGATCAAAGAGGCCAGGATCCCGGGGAAGGCAGGACACTGTCCGCCTCACTTCCTCCATCAACAGGAAGGATGTATAACTAGAACTCACAGGTGCATTCTGAGTGCCAGGCACCAAATGACACGATATATAAACATGACCCCATTTTATCTAACTCACACATTAGCTATATATTTGTATCACCACTTCTCAGATGAACAATCAGGCTCAGAGAGAAGAGTAGGGAGCTGGGATCGGAACCAACTGCCTAGCTCCAAAGTCTCAGCTTCTTCTAGTCGCTTGGGGCCCCTAGGTCCCCTGGGGGAGGTGACCTCACCCAGTGAAGGAGGGTGTGGGTTTCAAGATGAGGAGTAGCTGTAAATCATTGTGTTTTGGTAAATGGGCAGTATTTTTAGAAGGTCCTCTTTGAACCAACCCTTTCCCCCTGGGCCACACCTTCCACATCAAACTTGAGAACAAAGTTCCTAATCCTTTTGCCACCACAGTCCCTTCTGGGGTTCATTTCCATCCCCATGTCATACTACACCATATGTTTTGAAAGAGCGTGTGCGCAAAAATTGTTTCTGAAATAAAAATTCATTTCTCTCTCCCCTGAAGGAAATCAAGTGTAACCAGAATGCTCTCAGCCAGACCTCAGCATCCTGATCTTTAGTTTCTGCAGCTCTTCTTGT